TGCTGCTTATAATATTTCAGTGGCTTTTCTTTGCTCCTGCTATAAAGACCGCATTTGCCAGGTGGCTGTGTGTCTCCACAGTCTGACCTTCCTTTTCTTACCAGCCTCATTGTGTATCAGGCTCTTTGCTTTTGTAATCAAGCAGGACTTCTTTCAGTTGCTCTGACAAGCTCATTCCCTTCTGCCACAGGGCCTTCACATATGCTGTTACTTCTGTGGACATTATTCTCCAAACCAGTCCCTTGTTCCCTTCATCTACATATCTCCTGCCCATTCATTAGATCCCAATGATTTTATCAGGTCTTGATAGAAGAATTTCGTGCTTTCCCTGTAGACAAATAACTTATGACATGATCTCAAGGCACTCCTGGGTCTTTGCTTCATTGCACTGTTAACTGTAATTTTGCATTCATTCTTGTGATTCTTTGGTTGATTTCTATCTCCCCTACTGAACTATGAGCTCCATAAGGTCAAAAATTGTGCATGTCTACCTTTTACTCCCAGGGCCTAGAATAGTGTTCAGCTCATAGAGCAGAGAGTAAGGCATTCAACATTGAACTTATCTAACCTCTGTAGAAGCCCCAGGTGCTCAGGTTTGGCCATAAGCAAATCAGAGGAAGAAGATCAAGGGCAAATCTCCGAGGGATTAAGGAGCCCGGTTTAGTAGTAGGAAGAGCCTTCTGAATATAAATGTTGATGTCTCGGAGCCCTCATATTTATGGTTTCTCCTCTATTTGGTTTGGACACAAGACATTCCTCTATCTCCTTCGAGTACTATCGTTTCCTTTTGTAGGAGTTTAATGAAGTCTGCTACAAACAGCTGGGGGTAGAAGGGTATCTGGTTTATGGCACTGAGAGAAATGTTCACTGTGTACAGATTGATGTGGCCACCAAATTTTCTGTGTGTATAACTTCAGGGTGCTTTGCATGGGGGTCCAATAGCCTAGTCTCACATTTCAAGCTGCTCCCTTGCTTATGTATCTCCCAAGGGACTCTAAGGACAGGAAGTAGGAAAAAACAGAGATAAGACTTCTCCCCTCCATGAGCAAAGAAAAATATCTTTTCCAGGCAGGCCTCTTATCCCAGCTACCAGTAGATCCTGCTGTGAAAAATACTATTAATAATAAATAGTAGTCTTCATAATCATTATAACAATGGCCTTCACTGGACTTTTTTTAAATGTGCTGTTTTACCTGAATTTTCTTATTTAATATTCACAACCATCCTAGGAGGGGCTGCATTTGCTCAGGAGTAGACTAAAACTTAGAGAAGCCAAACTCTTCCCTCAAGACCACACAGGAAGCAACAGGTGGTAAAGGGATTTGAAATTAGGCAAATGATCTTCCTTCCCCTTGCTCCTGACCACTGTTTTATCTGCCCTCTTTGAGTCTTTAATGATTCCTTAATAAATCTTTTCTTCTTAGGCATTTATTGTATAACAGGCACTGGGGATCCAAAGGAAGGTAACTTTTAGATGGCCCCTTCCCTGGAGAAGTTTACCACCACTTAGGGGGCAAATCACCAAAATCCTCTTCCTTGCTGACACCCACTGAGCACTTCTGTGAACCAGGCTCTGTGCTAAGCCCTGTACCTGAGAATTTTATTTAAGCCTCAGAACTCGTATCTCTAGGTAGGTGTTAACATCACACCTTTTTTCAAGATAAGAAAATGGAGGCATCAGGTAAAATAACCTACCCAAGGGCCCAGAACCAGGAAGCAGCTGGCTAGGATGGAGCCTCAAGTTTATCTTTGTCAGATGCCTGTACTTTCTACCACCACACTAACTAGCAGAAATGTGGAGAATGTACAAACAGAAGAACCTCCAGTGCACTTTGAAAGTACAGGGCAGGACAACTTAGCTCTGTCTGAAAGAGCCAGAAAAGACTTCCTTTGTAGATGTTTAAGTAACTTTGTCCTCTACCTTCCTGTTTAAATATACTTCATAGCTGGCAAGAGGTGGGAGTAGAGGAAAATAAAAGCCAATGTGCGGACATTTTTAGAGGACGTATTTGTGTTCGACATTATAACTTTCTGGTAATTATTGTAGAGTAAGATTAGAAGGGGCTGTTTGGTAAGTAGTGAGTTTTCCACCATTAGAGGTATTAAGAGGGAAACTGAACTATCATGCTGAGGATACCTGAGAAGTTGAGGTACAGGGTTAGTAGTTGGATTAGATTAGGCGTAACCACTTTAGCTGTGCATATGAATGGGTGGGTGATTTGGTTAAATACCAGTTCCTGGGCTTTTGCACTAGACATTCTGAGTCAGCAGGTCAGGACAGGATCCCAGGAATCTGCATTTGTAATAAGCTCCCCAGGTGATTCTTAAGGACACTGTATTAGTCCGTTTTCATGCTGCTGATAAAGACATACCTGAGACTGGGTAATTTATAAAGGAGAAAAAGTTTAGTGGACTCACAGTTCCACGAGGATGGGAGGTGGACCTCACAATCATGGCAGAAGGCAAAAGGCACATCTTACACGGCAGCAAACAAGAGAAAATGAGAACCAATCGAAAGGGGTTTCCCTTATAAAAACGTCAGCTCTTGGGAGATTTATTTACTACCATGAAAACACTATGGGGGAAACTGTCCCATGATTCAATTATCTCCTACTGGCTTCTTGCCCACAATACATGGGAATTATGGGGTCAACAATTCAAGATAAATTTGAGTGGGGACACAGTCAAACCCTAACATACATGTTCATTGTGAAGTCACACAGTCACAGAGGTCTAGATGACCTTTAAAATCTTTTCCAGTATTGAGGTTCTCTAAATTTGTGTGTCCTAGTATGTATTCAATGGAATACTCTGCCTCTAACAGCATTGACAAATTTCTTCTTTTAAAAGCCAAGTAATGAAGACTTTAAGCTTTGTGGGGTTTTTGTAACAATCACTCAACTTACTATTATATTAATAGCTTGAAAGAACCATAGACAATACATAAATCAGCGGACGTGGTTGTGTTCCAGCAAAATTCTGTTTATAAAAGCAGACAAAATTAGATTTGGCCCACAGACAGTAGTTGACCTTTGCCTGTGAAAATAAGTTTGTAAAAAGCTACAAACCGTATCCCTTCATGAATATTCATGGGGTATGTTAGCATCTCAAAGGTTCTGAGAAGAACGTGAGAAGTAGAGAGACTTGTTTAATTTTGATTAACGCAGACTTTCTCAAATTTATTTAACGACAAAACTCTTTTAGTACATAACGCTCACATCTTAATATACGTTGGGAAAGACTCATTTATGTCTTAAAAGTGGGCAGCATACAAACCATTTGCATAGACTGTCTTCCTAGAGGTTAGGAAGGAAACGTGTCTATAATACATGCCTCACCCAGGTCACTGGTGTCTAAACCAAACTCATTAGAGATGGTGTCCATGGCTTAGGGTAATGTTCCCATATTAAAATAAAAACACCCTCAATGTAAATGCACTTGTCAGGTTTCTTCTGCAGAGGTTGTTTTGAATGCAACTGATGAAACAAAGGACGTAAGATTTATCTGGAAAGGGATGAAACCATCTGGGAAAGGAAGAGCAAAAATGAAAATGAAAAATAAAAAGACTTATTAAGCATTTGCTGCACGCCTACCACTCTACTAAGGCCTTTATCTAGAGCCATCATTTTCAACTGGGGGCATTTTGCTGCCAGAAGACACTTGGTAATATCTGGAGACATTTCTGATTGTCATAATTGAGAGTATGGAGTACAGTGCAAGGACGTAGCAAGTAGAGTCCAGGGATGCTGTTCAACATCCTACCGTGCACAAGACGCCACCGTCCCCCAACAAATTACTCAGTCCCAAATATCAATAGTGCCACTGTTGGAAACGTTGATCTAGATGATCTGATTATCTAGAAATGCAAAGAGTCGGGCAAAGAGGAATTTAATATCTTTTCTCCAGCCTTCCCAGAGTTAGTGATGACTTGAGCCACACTCTTAAAAGCTCACATTCAACTGAGCTTGGCAAAGACAGACTTCACTTCCTTGGTCATTGATAGCCTATGGCTCTAAGAGGTCCTATCCACAGCTCCTTCACATTACCATCCCTCTTGCCACTCTATCCCTTATCTTTTGAGGCTCCTGATACATTAGGTACCTAGCATCCAATCTTATCCATGTCTTCAAAATGTATTTCCAGTGACCACTATAATACTCCTTACTTAAGCCTTGAAATCCATCTGCTGCCAGCCTGACCAGTTATGTTCAATTACGTTTGTGACACCAGGCAAATGACTTTAACCTAAGGATTTTGATTTCGCCATCTGTAAATGGAAATGATGACAATATGTGTCCTTTCTAGCTCAATTCAATTCCACTCATATGTAAACCATAGGGTCAATACTAAGCCTGGGGAATTGGCAGATGCCAAGAATGTGAAACCTCCCAGAGAGAGTATGCTGAGGCGATGGGATCTTTAAGGAGGCGGCAAATTCATTGTTTTTCTAAGCCAGCCCAGCTCCAGTTTTCCACCAGCCTCCAAGAGTGCTGCAGAGTGTGAGAGTGTGCTGAAGAGGGTCTGGACAACATCACCGAAGGGCAGTCATTAGCCCCGGTATTTGGCCTGGGAATAGACGGAGCTAAGAAGTTCACGTGTGGCAGCATATTAGAAAGTTAAAAGTTTCTCCTGGAACTGGCTCTCCAAGGGGCAATCAGTAATAAATGTGATTTGGACTTGTTAGGCGACATCATCAGGACCTGACTTGGCCCTCAGAACTCCAAGCTATTTTCCTTTCTGGTAATTATGGAACATGAAGCACTTGTACTTTATTTTTATCACGGCTAAACTGAGCAATCAATTTCAGACAGTCCATGAATAAGGAGGTTGCTTCTGGAAAGATGACTCCCGTAGATTATCATTAAGCACTGAAACTGATGCTTAGAAAATAAAGCAACACAATGGCAGGAATGTTTAAAATGGTCCCTTGTGGAAGACTCGTCTTTCCCCTCCCATGCTAATCTTCTGCCTGCTTTTGAGCCTGTCAGCTCTTCTTTTTCCTCTCTCTATCCATGCTGACTCTGGCTGTTCAGTTGTTTCACAGTGAGAGGAGAAACTCCTGGAATTGGAAATGACAAAAGAGAACCCACGATGATGAGACTTTCTTTTCAGAACCTCAGATCCTCATGAGCGATTGCTGAGCATTGCACTCTTGGTGCTCACAAATACTAGGAATTAAATTGTGGAAAAAACATGGCCCACAAATGGCTGCTTCCCCTCTTCCCAACTATTAACAAGATGATAAATATAAATACAGTGATGCGAGTGTGGGTGGAGGGTGTCTGACTGGGGAACACATAGGGGACACTGGGGCTCATGCCCAAGTTGACTCTTGGAGACTGACCGGCACGTGTGAATTCAGACATGAGTTTTGTCAGTTATCTCATAGCAAAAGATGAGTCATATGTTACAGATATGTGTGTTAAGCCATGTTTGCCTTGACGGCTGTGCTGAGTCCCACTCCTTCTTGCTTTTCCTTAGTCTTTTCTGTCAAGTTTCTAGAAATGCAATAAGGGGAATGGAAAGACACATAGCTTGCAACAGGTAAAACTTGAGGTTCATATCTTGGCTCTGCCACTTATTAACTAGGTCTTAGTTTTTCAGCAAGGAAGTGTTACTTAGTTCATTGGATTCTTGTAAGAAATAAAGGAAATGATATATGTTAAGTGCCTAGGTTATATTAGGCACTCAAAAATGGTCGTTGTAATTTTTTAGTCAAACAAAGGTGAAATTACATTGATGCGCTAGTGAAATCTCTCTATTAAAGACACCTAACCATACCCCATAAAGGACAACTGATCTTTATTATACTCAGTAACAAGTAACAGACAGAATTGGTTATAATTTCAACTTGTCACTTTTTCTAGGTGGAGCCTCTGACTATTCAAACTTGTGCAGTGCAAAAAAGGTGCAGTGCAAAAAAGAAGGCAGGGACACCTTAGTACATGGACTTACAGGAATTCAGATTTGATTGTAGATAAATGATTTTTTAAATAATTTTTGTAAACACAGGGTTAACAACCCTCAGGAGTGCAGTTGATCTGTTTCACTTTATCATTTCTTGGTTTCTTAAAACCAGTGACTCAAACTGGGCTGCCCTTTTAGCCTGGGAAATCCCTAAAACGGAAACAGAGCTGGGGGCGGGGAAAGGCCCTTTGTGATTTGTTCAAAATGAATCACCAGTGATTAGGGCTGATTTTCAATGTTGGAGTCATTCAAGTATGTTACCTTGAGAAGTGGAAGCACCCTTGCCTTTCCCTTTTCCTTTCTTTGTTCGCCTCCCAGGCAGGACTCACTCACTCACACCCACCCCTCACCTCTCACACAAAGACCTTCAGAGTTGGGAAGTTTCAGCAGCCTCCCTAGGGAAAAGCCCGGGGAACCTGCTCACTCCAGCCCCACCCTCTAGTCTTTTCTGGCAGGTGTTAGTTGGCTAAGTTTCCCTGTGTACAAGTTTGATGTTTTGCTTTTTTTCGGTAACCCCTGCCCCTCCACCATTAGCTAGGTAATCATCATTGTTCTCTGACATTAGCAAATGCTTGGGTGGGTGAAATCTGTCCTCAAAGAGGCTCTGAGAGTCGTTGGCTAATTGTATTAAAGTCAAAGAAATCTCTTTACACATTCATAAGTAGGCTTTACAGCTGGATAGAAAAATAAGTAAGAAACATAACCAAACAAGGGCATCCAGTGGGATTTAATTAGGATAGGCTTCTGTAGTGGTCTGTCTGAACCACTTGGAGATCTGTTGAAGAGACGCAGAGCTGCGATTTTCCTTTCCATCTTCCTGCTTTCCCTCTGTTCCGGGGAATAGACAAAACAGTGCTTTGAGAAGGGCAAAGCTAATGCTGAGACATAATTTTAAAATTCAGTAGAGTATGACTCAATTCAGCCAATCATTAATGAGCACCAGTGCTAGGAGTTACAGGGCTGGTTCATACCCTGTCCCTGCCAGCTGCTTCCTAGGAAGGGAGAAGGACATAAAGACATGTATGTTAACAACACATCTGCCTGTTAATGGCCAGCCTGGTGCTGAAAAAACATGAATATTCACCCCATCTGCACAAATTCTGCTATAAAACCACAGCAAGTTAACTATTATTTACTTACTATTTTTCTTTAATCTATTCTCTCATTTTTAAATTTAGACTCATGTGAATCAATATTCTCTGGGAAATTATGAGCAGGATATATGGTTACAATGCTACAAACGCACATTTAAAATAAATAAGCCGGTAAATCCGTTCATCTGTGCACCCCATACTCAATGCACCTTATGTATTCTAGCAGTGTCATAGGGAATCATTGCCATGTGATGTGCTGCACATAGGTACCTGACAGAGGTCTTCCAGAGGCTGATGGGATGGAACCGGGGAGCAGGGCGGAGGCAGAGAGAAGAAGAAAGTGGAAGACAGAGGACTTCCCTGAGAGCTCTAGCTTTCATCCCCAGGACTCCCATGGGAGTTTCCTACCCATTTCTGGTAGAGAAAGGTACTCCAGACAAAAGCGATAGAGAGCATAAGCTTAAAGTGCTCGGGGAAGGAGTAAGGAAAGGAGTAGAAGATTCATCAATTCATTTCATATCTTACGGGAACCTACTTTACAACCACATGTCTGTCCATCTGTTAGTTCTCTACATGATACTGGCGAGATACACCAGGAAGTATGATAAATGGTCTTGCTCTCAAGTTGCTTGCAGTCAAGTTAGACAGGCAACACACACACACACACACACACACACACACACACACACACACACACACACACGCAGGCATCCAGAGATAAGCATTCAAAGAGAATGCGTGCTTAAGGACCAAAATAGCAACACTGAAAGTTACTATGAGTTCAGAGGAAAAACTTCTGTAGATGGCATAGGCTAAAGAAGGCATCCCCAAAGCAGGGGGGCTTTAAAGAATGGAGCAGAATTCAGAGAGTGGAAGACATAGTTCAGGCTGGAGAAATACATCAGAAGCAACAGCTGCACATGTAACCTGTTTCCCCTGCACTGCAACTTTGGCTTTTGGATTGGACCAATCACAGCTTCTAATTCCAGTTCTCAAACGAGTGTCCTGAATGGATACTAAGGGGTCTGTGAATTCATAGGCAAACTTTTTGTGAATTCACATACATATTTTTTCTGGAGAGAGTATTTCTAGTTTTCATCAGATCCTCTACAGAGTGACTCAAATTCACTAAGTTTTCATGAGTCTATTCCAATTTATGCCTTTATTATCACAAGCATACATTTTGTTGTCTCTTTACATTGCACTTTTTTTCATTACAAGGAGAATCCAGTTTTTACAAACCCGAAGGGAAACAAAATTTCTCATAGTGAATAGATTAGTGCCCAAGGCCACTTAATGAAACCAGGCCTCCCCAGCAAGGTCAAGCTCTAACGCTTACCCATGCTCATAACTACAGGATTCTCTGCTTAGTCAAGTTTCCCATGGAGAGAATCAACATACATCCTGACTCAGTCTCACCTCCCCTCTTAGGGCTTCTTATATTCTCAGCTCAGTGAAACTCCGCTTAAGTATTTTGTCTTGTCACTGACCATGACTTGAATGTTAATTTTTTCTTTTTGACAACTGTCTTTGCTAACCATCATGCTCTACTCAGCATATTCCATCCTTTAGAACCTGAAGAAAGTAAGCATGATTTAAATACTTGCAGGACAGCCCATGTTTTTAGCATGATATTTCATTATGGTGGCGACACACAAACCCTATGTTCAAAAATGGCGTCTTTATTTTTAAATCAGTATTTATATGAACCTGCTTGCAAATTCACTGCTTGTACACGATTTTTAAGTGGACTACTCTTCCTTTTATCTTTATTATACATAAGTAGAAAGAAGATGATAACCAAGCCCCATGTTTTAATTTCCTAATTTCATTCAACTCATGGCCCATCTTGTTTCCTGTTAGCACCTCTCATATACTGTCCAAACCTGGATTTTTTTGAAGCAAATGTTACATATCATATAATTTTACCCTTAACTAGTTGAGCATTATAAAAGATTTTTAGCAGACTTTGTTATAAATAGTATGGGCCACTTGTCAGGTCATGGAAAAATCTTGTGACAGTGGCATGTGAAAGAGTTTGTGTAAACACGGTCCTACTCATTTTCCTAAAACATTTCTGTTTGGTAATTTCTATGGGTTAAAAGTCTCTTTGGTAATAATGTCTGCCATACTTTTAAGAATCACTGGTGCTGTAAATTATAGTTTTAGTCAAGTCCATTTAGTGCAATTAAGTATGTAAAGTTAGTTCTGCTATAAGTCTTCTTTTGAAATCATGAATTTGTTCCAATGGCATTGATATATTAGGGAACCATTTGAACATAACTAGATTTGTTTACACACAATTTCAACCACCAGGAACACGAGATTAATGCAGGAAACTGCACTCAGCTGAACTGCACCTGATAGGAATACACAACATGCATACACCTCCACCATCTGCAATCCACCTCAGCCCACACCCAGTGCTGCAACTTTCTCTCTGATTCTGGATAACCCCCTCCCACCACTTCACAGTAGCTCAAAAGCAGCAACCCTTCTCACCTTCACTTTCACAGGCAGATGCCAGGTCTTTTATAAGGAGAAGTGTAATACTTACTGTATCTATGCATCTCTTAACCATGTAACATGGGTAAACTGTGCTACCACTTTTTTTGTTGTTGTTGATTCCTGTTAGTTTTGTTTATTAATGTGTCATTGACAATTTTTTTGGGCTTTGTGACCTCAAACCTAGGGTTTCTCAACCTCAGCAATGCTGATACTTTGGGCTGGATAATTCTTTGCTGAGGGAGTGGGGTGGGGCTGTCTCGGGCACTGTAGGATATTTGGCAACCACCTGGCCTGGCATCTACCTGCTACATGCCAGTAGCCCTGATTCTGCTACTCCCCAGTGTAACAACCCAAAATGATTACAGACATTGCCAAATACAGCCTGGGAGAGGGAGAAAATCATGGAGGATTGTGAGTGGTTGAGAATCACTGCCACATCCCATCTCCCATGAGAACTGTGGTATTTATTGTACTGTTTTGCATAGCATGATGGTTTTTAGGAATGCATTTATCTTGTTATAGCAGAGCTAGTTATACATATTATATGAGTGCCTCTGCATGAGTCTTCATATTAATATTTTTTACTATGTGCTATTAGATTCCACGTACTTTGCGTTGAGCTTGAAATATAAATCTCTGAATTAAGGGACTCATTGACTTCTAACAACATCTTTATTTTAAAACTACATAGACCTTGAACCATATAAGATGTTATAACAAAAATAATATTAGTAACAACAGCTATCATTTATCGGGTCCTTTCTAAGAGCCAAGCACTGTGTTATAGGTATCTATATTCAGTGTTGCACTTTACTTTTACAAGAGCCCATTCTGGAGGCCACTGTCTGTCACCTCCACCCCTTAACAGGAGAGAATTCTCAAAAGGAAAACTGTGTCCCTGAAGAGTGGAGTGACTTGTCTGAGGTCAGCCATCTAGCATGAGAACAAGAGGCATCAGGGCACAGAGTCTCTGCTTGTGAAGTCTACATTCTCATGTCCCTGGAGCCTCCTTACTTAAGAATATCAACAACTATTTACTGAATGCCTACTTCTTTTATCAAAGTAGTGACTGTAACACTAATAATACAGCTCATAGCCAAAAAGCCAAAATGCTCAACCAAAGGGCTGAGCTCAGTAAAAATTATCTCACATTACTACACTGAAATTGTATGCTAACATTAAAAATATGGTTATAGAAAAAAAGAACTAATTATATGGAAATATGTTCATGCTTTATTTATGCAACAGCCTGTGTATCTATATCTACAAAGAAAAATACTTGAAGCCTTTATCTCAAATCAGGAAGCACTGTTATCTCAGCAAGCTACGACTACTGATGATTTTCGACCTCTTCATTTTGTTTAACCATATATCTGAAATTTTTAGCCATGAATAGGTATTACTTTTATATATATACATATTTTTATAAAAAATGTTTTTAAAGAGAGAATTAAAGCTCAAGATAGCACAAGAGATAATAAAAGGGGAACTAGATATTTAATGAGTTCAAGTTGGATTACATTCTAGAATACAGAAAGAACTTGCAGATGTGATTACAAAACCACTGTCAGCAATCTTAGATAAATCAGAGACTGGGAGCAAGGCCAGGGAATTGGAGACAGGAATATGTTATTCCAGTTTTCAAAAATGAGAAAAATGTGGATTCTAAAAACTAGAAGGCAATGCATCTAGCATTCAGAATTTGATTATTATATACATTTTATGAACATTTAGGAAAAAGAGTTCAGCCAGAGACAGCTGGGAGTGTGTAGAAGTTCAAGTCACCCTGGGATAACTTTATTTCCTCTTTAAATAGTTTATTTTTGATACATCAATAAAATATTCCAGACAGCATGCACTTTAAGTCCTACAGGAGCATTTGATAAACAGATGTGTGTTTTTCCTTGTAGAAAGCGTGGGCTAGATGATAATTTGATGAGCTGGCTTCACAGCTAACTGAATTATTAATAATTGCTACCGATGACTGCAAACTGCCTGAGCCAGGTACTGCACTAAGCCTTTTAAATACACCACCTTGCCAGATGGGTGCCGTTGTTACTCCCACCTTTATAGATAGATAAATGGAGGCTTGGGGAGGTTGAGTCATATTCTTGAAGACCAAAAACATGTAAATAAAAAAGTTAGGATTCGTGTGTTTAAATACACTACCCTCTATTGCCTTTCCAATAAATAGATAGGGATTGAACTGAGGGCTCTAATCCAATGGCCACAGGTGTTCATCCCATGCAGTATGTTGATCAATGCCTTGGAAGAGAATGTAGAGCTGATATTTATCAGATTGACATAGAGCTGTGAGTTGGGCGGCCCTTCTCTTGAATTCCACTCTGTTTCCTTTGATTGAGGGAAAGGGCTCCTCAACTGGAGGGTCTGTGTCAGAGTGCTGGAAGGAGGCCTGGTCAAGGCAGGGGTAGAAAACCAACTCCAATCTTCTTTTTCCAAGAATATAACCTCTAAGGTCACCATGAGATTTAACCTTTTTAGTACTTTCCATGGACATTTTGTCTGAATAAGAAAGAGGCCTTTGGCCTATTTATTTCACTAGTTTTTTCAGCTGCAAATAGATCTTTGGCAAAAAAAAAAAAAAAAAATCTGGCTCTAAAAATAAAGAATTTCTCTCTTTTTAGAACTTTTCCCCAAAATTCTTTGTTATAGAAGGTACAAGGAATAAAAGAGGAAAAGAAAGTGAGAGAAAGAGAAGAAGAGGAAGGGGTAAAAAAACAACAAGGAAGGGGAGAGAGAATGAGGAAAAGAAAAAAAAGTCAAAGGAAGAAAGGAAGGAGAGAGAAACAAAGAATGAGAAAAAGAAACTTCTTTCTTGTGTGGTATAATCAAATTCTTCTTTAAGGCAGCCGGGCAAAATTAAAGTTATGGTTTCCTGAGCTGTTTGGTCTGGGATGCAGTGTAAATAAGCCCGCCCCTCATCTGGCCCCCAGGAGGCTGGAACCTCAGCAGAGTCTGAGCCCCAGGCTGCCAAACCACCATGAGCTCTCTGGGGAAGTCCCTTGCTTGCTGAGTCAGCAGGAGCAACCAGGGCAACTTGACTGTTTCCCATTTTAATTCTTCTGAGTGCCAGTTGCAGAGTATGCAGGTGAAGGGTGATGTCCTGGAACAATCAAGGTCAGCTCCGATTTGGAAATTGGGACACAGCTCTCAGGTCCTTCCTGACTCTGCAGAGCTTGAGTTTGCAGCAAGATTATTCTTAGCTGGTGTTATGAAATGTACACAACGAGGATTTGGTCAGGCTTATAACCCAGGACGTGTGCTCTATTGGACGTAACTGTGTTTTCTTCTTTGTCAATAATATATCCTGGCATATTTGCATCAGTGGAATACTATACAGTTATCTTTAAACAATGATAGAGACTATAGGGCACTGTTACTTGGGGTGAAAACATACCTGCAATATATTGGTTTCGAGAGCACAAGCATAATATGACACAATTAACATCAGTCATCTCTGGCTGGGAAAATTGTAGGTGTTTTTTAAATTTTATATTTCTCTGTATTGTACTTTTTTTTTTTTTACTAATAATCATAGCTAATGCATATAGAGGGCTTTGTGCTAGGTGTCATGCCAAGTATTTCCCACAAAACATGTCACTGGATCCTTGCAAGAGACATACGAGGTAGGTATTATCATCATCTTCTTTTAACTGATGAGGCAACATACTTAAGTCCCTTGCTCAAAGTTATGCAGCCTGAAAATGCCAAAAGGTAAGACTTAAACCTTAAACTCACACCAAAGCCACCTCATAAGAATTTTCCCCCCAAAACAATAAACTATTTAGAGGTAAGTATATCCTGATAATTGTTTAAACCAGTTTTCAAATAAAACATAGCTATTTAAATTGAGTTGGTTGACTCATAGTTAATGACATGCAAAATATTCCTAATACTTGATTATGTAGAAAAGTAGGCTACAGGGGTCATTCTGTTTTATGTGTCTGTGGGCGTATGTATGCCTCTAAGCATTAAAGTATCAATTCTAATATTTAAGAACTGCTCTTTCAATGTTGGAATGAAGATAATTTTAGATTCTTCTGTTTTATAGTATTTGCAAAATTTCTATAATAGCAAACACTACATTTAGAGTAAGGAAAGGAAAAGGGCAGGAGGCATTCTACCCACCCTTCTGACACCCCCAGTGCAACCCCTAAGATCCCGCTTTCAAGAGAGCTTCTTGAACAATAGCTTGTCCTTCCCTTTTCTCTTCCCTGTGACCTGCCACTCCATGGGGCTTTAGCCTACTTTAGCAAGAACTTAAGCAGGTGCCTTAGAGACAAGGAACAGAATCCATGACATGCAAGGAGATGGCAGAGCCCTGAGAGATAAGCCTGCCTCCGGAGTTTCACATCTCCCTTTTGTTTGTCTGCACTTCATGAGGGGTTCGCAGACACCAAGGCCTGGCTTGTCGAATAGGGCTTGTAGGAGATAAAGACTCTTGACTCCCAGGGCTTAGCATGGAGGGGGTGGCCACTGGACAACTGGAAATTTAAAAATCATGTCATAATTTCTGCAGAGGCCTCTGTGAGAAGCAGCTGAATAATTTCTCTTACATCTGAAGAAGAGGCTATCAGGGAAGGGGACTTAATGTGAACCAAGTGACCTGCATTTACATAGGCTGTTGTGCCCTTTGGTGGAAACTCAATCATTCATTTGAGAAATATTTATTGAATACTTACTATGTGTAGAATACTGTTCCAGATACTTGGGAGGTAGCAGACAACTAAACTCAGTCGTTGGGATACTTAATACTTGTGTTATAGCCCTTCTACCTTCTTGTCTCCCTAAAGGACGCCTACCCTTGCTTTGAGACCCAGAATTTTAGATCTAACCTGGAGACTGCCATGAAGTGGAAAGTGGCAGACATCCCAATTACCCTGATGCAATATTTACACATTACATGAATGTGCCAAAATATCACATGTATCACCCAAATATGTACACCTATTAGGTATCAAAAAAATAATGCAAATGCTAAAAAGAAATAATGCTGAGACAATAGGAGTAAATTAGTCTCCCTATCTAAAAGCAACCTCGAACTTTTTCTAAGAAGACATTTTACTTGGTTTTGGATTCATATTACCAGAACTGGGAGGAAGGATGGAGAGTAACACTAACAATAGCAGCAAGCAAGTGGGGTTGTTGGCCTGAAAGTCACTAGTGTTTGTATAGAGTGTCTGTAGGAATTTCCATTCCTGGGACATATGCATGTGGCAATTGGTAGCCCTGAAGGTCCACGTACACTGGAATCCTAGATAAGCCTGAAAGGATTTCTAACATGTCTGGAAAAATATAAGAGAAAGAAGAGACAAGGATACTTTGATCTCGATTTGGGTGGCGAGGAAACCGTAAAGTGGATCTTGAAACAACATTCACAGATAGACAGATATGAGGCAGCCTGTGGTCCAGCATCACACCTTGTAGTTGAAGTCTTTAGAGTCCATTTCAGGCCTTCTCTGAGACATGGTGGACCCAGAGTGTTGCGTTAGGGCCCAACTGATAAAGTGCTGCATCAAGCTTGAGAGATGGGCTTGTTCCTATAGCTATAAAATGACTGAATGAAAATGGCGGAAAAGCTGGAAAATCCTAGTGCCCCATTGGTAATTGCAGAGGTGACAGTTTGGTGAACCTCAGAGCTCAGTCCTATACCAGTTTCTCCTCTCTCCTTCTTTTCTCCCTAGATGATCGCACACGTGCCCATGGTAAACATATATTACTGATTTAATGAAACAAGTTTTCTCTTTAAAGATGCCAAACATGCCACCAGAAAATCAACCATTAGATAAACATTGAAAAATAATAATAATTAAAAATACATAATTTTCACAGCTCTGTGCTTGAGAAATTATTTTCATCACTTAAAAATAGTGGAGGCCTAAACCCTATCCACACAAGTTTCCTTCCATTGCAAACCCTGCTGGTGAGGAAATTAGGATTATCATCAAACCCACATGCCTCAATTTGACCCCAATCTATTAATAGTATTTTTGTTCTGTTTTCCACGATCTTCTCAACTTCTCTCTCATTACATCACTACATGATGCATGTGTTCTGAGATAGGTCCCTGTCAAGCAAGTTAAATTTTATATAGACTAGTAGCTATAGAAAAGGCTGTCTACAAGGCCACATTAGTAAAGTTACAAAGCGGTTAGTTGGAGAGAGGAAATGTTAGCATTCAGATAGAAGAAATTTTTAAAATCATACTTTGCCAAATAAAACTGTTTCCTTGGAGCTAGATAAATATTCTCCCAAAGACAGACCTGAGGACTCAGACAGCTGCATCTATTTATGGTTTCCCCTGTGTTTCCCTCTCTCCTCCAAATCCAATCAGCTGTACAGAAAGCAATGAGGGTTCCTTTATTAAGCTTCACTATTCCCAGCAAGGGACAGAAGTAGTGAAACAGAAAGCCAGCTGCCATTGAAATGTTTCAGCCATCTGCTTCTTCCTTATTTTTCCCCTTCTCTGTACACATTTAAATGTTCTTCCTTGTTTATCTATTCGTAGAGAGCAGATGGAATCATCATCATCATCATCATCACCATATTACATTTACTGAACAACTACCATGTCCTAAGCACCATGTTAGTAACTTTCTATAAATTATCTCATGTCATCTTCACAAAATTAATAATGCATTATTGTCCCATTTTACTGATGGCAAAACTGAGGTTTAGGAAGTTTAAGCAACTTGACAAAGGCTACACAGCTAATAAGTGGGATTGTCTAATCTTAAGCCCCTCTCTTTTGAAAAAAAATTAGGGCTACAGTGATAAATCTTCAGAAAAATTATAAAGCAGATAAAAGTATTTTTAGCACTCTTTCAATACCCTCTTTTCAAGCCATGTCACTCTACTGCCCTCTACTCCCTTTCCCCAAGCTGCTGAGGATCCCAACAGTTCCAAAAGTATGCTTTATTAGTGGTGTTTGCATTTGAATATGAGTTTCTTAAAAAACAAAATTGAAAGATGCAAATAAACAACCTCTAAAAGTCAAGTGTTAGCCCATGCCAACAAGTGTCAGGAGGGTCTTTGTAGGTTGTTGGACCTCCCCAAGGCTTCTTTGGTGACTCCAGGTAGATAGGTGCCATTCTCAAAATTTTAACAACCCTGCACCCTTAGCAATGTCAAGTTTACACACACGATTTGTGAAAATAGGCTACACATCAAACTTTCCAGTTCATCAAAACCAGAACAACAATGAAACTTCTTTGAGACCATTCTATGATTCCATAGTATTTTGAGGGAAGTGGCAAGGGCAGGTTTTTTTCAGTAGAGTAGAAAGATTCAGATCCCTGACTTTGTTATGATTAAATGAACAAGGTTGTTATTTTCTAGCAAATAAAAATGTATTCTTTGGAAACTCTTCTTCCTCACATCCCTAGGACATGCCCTCAATCTGCTGTTGAAAATCTAAAGCATTCCAGTTGGCAGAACAAGAGACTTTTCTCTTGGTGGACTACTGTGAGTTGAGTTTGGACAATGATTGTTCTGTTTCCAGAAAGTCCCTGGGGAGTGGGGAAGGGGGACTTGGAAACTCAGCCAGGTGTTAGACACCTCCTCAGGGGGTCCTCTTCTGCCAAGCCCCAAAATCCCAGCCCCGAAACAGACCCTGCTGACTTTTTCCAAAGTTTTGACTTTATTAAAGAGCCAGAGGCAAGGGATTTTTTTTTTCCATGCACAATCCTTCAGCTCTGAAATTCTGGATCTGA